ATATATATATATATATATATATATAAAAAAACTGGTAGTGTAGCAAAAAGGGAATTTGGGGAGGTAGAGTTGGAGGTAGGTAAAATTACCAGACTCAGTTCTCTTGAGCAGTGTGTCATAACATCTAAGTCTAATCATGTATGGTTAAGGACAATAATGTTAAACTGAAAAATGTTTACTGCAATAAACAAAAGCAACAAGTCTAGGGTCAGAATAATAATGAAATCTTTCTGCCTCTTTCCATTGTGCCTAGTTACCTCAGATGGTCACGCTGGTCATCTTTTTAAAATGGTCTTTTCAACACAGCACTCAACTGGGCTTACTGGGCCAAAAAAAAAAAAAAGGCAGCGTTCATTTACTGCAGTTTATTTGTTCCAGTTTCCGTTTCAATCAGCATTGTCCTTCTGTATTACAAGTACTGTGATCCTGTGCAGTGATGGTTACCTGCTGTCCCAATTTCAGAGTGTAAACAGTGAGCAATGATATTACTAAAAAAAAAAAAATCAAGCAGGAATTAATTCTCTGAAACACAGTGCTGCTTGTGGCAAGGTTTCTGTAAGTCTTTAAAAGTCCTTATACGTATGAAGGCTTTTTAGACAAGTGACAGTGATACATACAGAATGTTAGCTTTAATTAAAAAAAAAAACCAACCAAAAACCCACACCCCAAAAAAAACCCCAACCAATCAAAAAAACCCAAAACAACCACCCAACAAACCTGAAAAAAATGCATCACTTTCCAGAGTTAGTAAAATAAATGTGTCTTTCTCTACTAAAAATGAGATTTTTGAGTAGGAGAACAAGAGCGGAATGCAATGTGAGTGGAAAGGAGGATAAAGTAGATAACAGAGATAGGAAAAGATAAACAATTACCACAGCTCTTTTGGCCTCGGTGATTTTAGGGCTCTGCTGTGCTAGACACTGTACCATTGTGCAGTAAACAACAACTTCTGACCCCCAAACCTTGCTCCTTAAAGCTGCATGTTTTGTCCTCTGTGTGTATAGCCATGGTATTTGTATACTACTCACTCCTAATGTTGCAGATCTTTTTCTTTTGAATATGTTTGTCTTTTCTTCTGTGATGAGGTAGTAAATACTTTTTTACAGGTAGTTGTTCTGTACTCCTATTCTATAAGCATCTTGCCCACTTAACCAAAGAAATTCTCTGTCAGAGTAAGTAGTTGATTCTAATCTCGCAAGTCTTGGTGTCCCAGTCAGTGGGTAATGCCTGCTTTTGACAAGTTCAGGTCCTTTACTGAGGGAGTGGACTTCAGCGACTCAGTATAGTATCAAAAATAATAACATGTATTTGAACTAGCCAAAAACTGTGCCTTCAGCAGGTCTGCCAGAGTGTTTCAAGTCATAAAGAATTGGAAAAGCAGCTGACAGTGTATTATATTAGTATAATTGTAGTGGTAATGACTTAAATACATTGAGAAGTGAGGTTTTGCTTCAGAAAGAAGTAGTATCTCTTACCAGACCATGTCATATGTTTGGAGAAAAGCAGACATGCTTTTTGGTCAGGAGATCTCCTGAAGATTCATAGTAGTGTATTGGAGGAGGAAGAGGTAATGTCTTGTAAAAAGTGGTGTGTTCCCTTATATTGCGGAATATGGCTTGTGGGAAGGAGTAAAAACTTGGGCATTTTTCTTGAAATATAATGCTTTTAAGGTTTATCCGTGTGCAGTATTTCACCAGAGGTATGGAGTTAAACTGCTCTGGGCTTATAACAGGCTTTTTCCCTTGTATTCGTTGATGTTCAGCATTTTTATTTTTTCTGCTTCATGATTTTAAATTTGTTGAAACTGTGTATTGTACTTAAGATTGCAGGACTTGCTGAACAGCTGTTGTCTATTTTAAATAACCATTTCAAAAGCTTGCTATAAGAATAGAATTGACAAGATTAGATTTGCTGCCTTTCAACAAAGAGGGAGTCTGAATTATTCCTAAAATGTCTGTGCAGTCTTTGACTCTTTTAAAATATTTCATAACCATAATGCTTAATTATTTTTCATCTTTCCTGTATACTTGTTGTTCGACCCCAAGCCTGGGTTGAACGTTTACATGAGTGTTGTATAATATAAACATGCACTATAATCTTCATTTAGTAAAGTATGTGTAAGTTCAGATTGAATTGGTTTTAAATGTAACTGGTTTTCTATAGTAAAAGGATTATGGATTACAGTTTTGATTCTAGGACTATGCTCTGTTTTCAGAGAAAGAGAAGGATGAGTTTGATGGAAAACTGTTCAGAATGTATTAATTGGACAGTGTATAGCAAATATGGAGAAATGGCACAGTCCACCTGTTTCGTTTAAGGTTTTTTGATCCTATTCTACAGTGTTGTTTTAAGACTTCCGTTTTTTCCCTGTTTGTGCTTCTTAGGGGAGTTCATCACAGCTCCAATCCTGGACTGTTCAGCCGTCCTTTGAAGTGATTCCAGCTCAGCCACAGCTAGTGTTTCTTCGTCCATCAATCCCACCTCCCGTTACCCCTCACCCTGTTGGGAAAAAGAGAAATGACTCCACTAATTACCTGCCTATCCTGAATTCTTATCCCAAAATAGCACCACAGCCCTGCAAAAGGGATCACTCCTTTGATCTAGAAGAACGTCAGGAAACCAGTTGCCATAAACGACTCTGCACAGAAGCACCCAAGATGGAGACTTCTCCTGTATCAAGGAGCACAGGCTTGCCTCCTAGTCCGTTTGTCCACCTACCAGTTAGCTTTAAGACCCCTCAGGATTCTAACGAGGAAAGTTCTGCAACTCCGTTGACAAGTGGAAAATTGTCAGCTCTTCCTGGTTTTCATCGTGTTTCCAGTGACACTCAGAAAGTGCCAGGTCTGACTCCCCTTTTACCTTTTGGAACTCTGCAGGCAACAAAGCGCAGCCCTCATGAGAGCGAGAGCGCAGCACAAACTACAATGCAGTCAGCAGTGTGGAGCCCCCCATTGATACCGGAAGAGACTTGCAGTACCCCTGAGCTGCTCTTGCAACAGCAAAGCAAGTGCAGACGCTTTCAGAATACGCTCGTTGTGCTACGCAGGTCAGGATTGCTGGAGATCACTTTAAAAACCAAGGAGCTCATTCATCAGAACCAGGTGACTCAGGCCGAGCTGGACCGGCTGAAGCATCAAACACAGCTTTTCATAGAGGCAATAAAGAACAATGCTCCACAGTCATGGGCAGAGCTAGAAGCATCTCTAACAAGATCTGATAAAGCTGATAGCAACCTTGAAGACCCCACTTATCCCAACATGTAGTAAAAAGGTACACAGCTGTTGGTCAAGTTACTTCTGTGCCTCGTACGTCCTGTCTCAAGCTTTTACTTGAGCATTTTCTGAGTCCAAGACTTGCGAAGTGGCGTGCCATTAACAACTTGTCTTCAGAGCCAGTTGTGGGACTGGAACAGCATGGTGAGGTCTTGACAGAATGGGCACTTAGCACTTCAGTGTGACCTTAAGCTCCATGCTAACTCTGTGTACTTCCTTGGACTCAAGAAGCTTGGATGTGTTCTGCTGGCATGTTTCCATTCTTGCAGTGAAAAGACAGTCATTTGCAGTGTTCTGCAAGCAAGTATCTTCCTATTCCCACCTTCAGATAGTCGGTTCTGACAACGCTACAGCAGAACAGGTCCGACTGTCGGGCCATCATCAGTTGCAAGCAGATGAAGGGAGCTGCTGTGAGGAGAGGAAACTTAGGTTGGTGGGGTGGTATCTTTAGGTGGTTGCTGTCCTTTATTGTAGCAGAGAGTCTTGCTTTGGGGTTTTAACACGTTTGAATTAGTGGAGATCTGCTTGTGTTGAAGCAACATCCTGTATTCATTGCAGTCTTTGGTCAAAGTGGTGAGTGTCTTAGGACCCAAGTGAAATGATGTGTTTTGATGAGTATACTTTTGATTTTGATCTGTGCAGTTGGGTGAGTGAAAATCATAAGGCTTGCACTGGAAGTGTTTGTTCCAAAGCCAAATTTATTAATGGCTAACAAGTGTACAAGGCAAGTGGCTTTGGATTTTCATGTCAGCTTACAGATTAAAAATTGTTATTAAAGACTGCAGTGACTTTTTTTTTTTAAACAGTACAAGGAAAATATTAATTCATCAGAATTAACTTGGCAAGACTAGTTGCATATTATTTGATATGTGTATCTCTTAGTTTACAAGCCTAAACCTTTTTCTGTTGGATCAGATTGCTAAGTGTTAAAAAAAAAAAGGAGAGGTGAAAGAAAAAGGACTATAATGGCCTGTGATGAAACAAGTCCTCCCATCCCCCTTTCCTCTGTATTTTATCTAAAGAAATCAGATAAATGGGGGGTGGAGCAGGGAGGAAGGGTGGGGGTGGGGAGGAAGAGAGATGTCAGCTTGGATAACATCCCTAAAAAATTTATCTACTTGAGTTTGAACTTAAAAAAAAAAAACCCAAACCCCACAACAACAACAAAAACAACAACAAAACAAAACCATTTTGCCTCAACATAAATTTAGGTCATTCCTAGCCGGCTTGCCTTGAGATACAGCTAATGCCACTGTGTGCATAAGATATTAGGCCTTACTGATAGAGATCCCCAGTAGTCATGTTACAAAAGCTGTTCTACAGACATTTATTTCATTTCAGTTCAGTTCATCTAGACACTTAACTATGTTACTCCCTCCCATCTGAAGCATTTTTTTTCAGAGGTGGCCTGTGTAGAGATCTAAGAATGGCTTTGTCTGAGAACATTAACGTATCTGCATTGTTTATGGTATGTTCCTTTCTGTGTGGTAATGTTTCAAAAAACTCTGTGATCTAGGTGACTGGGTATTTTGATGCTTTGATTGCTTCTGTCATCTGTTTCAGATTCTTAAAAAAGGAAACTCGAAAGTAGAGTGCATGTCTTGCTAATTTGTGACTAGTCCTTTTCATTCCGTGATGCCTCTGGGAATCAATATTGCAGAAGGCTATAGAGAGAATGTTTTTGTAGTCTTCCTCAAATATGTGCATTAGAGAAATTGTAAGGGGGTTCTCTCTTGTAAGGGGTTTCCTCCTTTTTACACTGATGAAAAGAAATGCTGTACATGCCTCACAAAGAGGAGAAATGTAAGTCATATTTGTACTAGCCATAGACCTAGGGAGAAATTTTGAGAGATTTGCCCTATTGGAGCTGTAGCAAACTAGTAGCCATGCCTTTAATGGTGTCCTGCCCACTAGTGGAATACTAGTGCAGTGTGTGGGAATTGATTAAAAGAAAAGTACTTTTAGACTGTGTTCTGTCATGTATTTTTTTAAATATACCTGCTATAATTGTGCATACTAGGATGTCTCATAACTCGCTGCACAGCAATATTGAAACTCAGCCAGCAAACCCGGAAGGCAAGAAGGCAGCATAGTACAGTGTAATAATGTAGGATGTGTCCAATTAGCTTTTCTGGAATCAGTTGTGATATGTGCACCGAATGACATTTGGCAGGATAGATGTGATGGTACCTTAGGCCATTTGTAAAAGAATCCAAAAGATAAACTTGTTTCTTCTGAGCTCCTTACAGGAAGGAGAGGAGGCAGTTCCATCGACCTAGAGGTGAGGTGTGAGCAAGTGCATAGTTTCTTTCCTACTTTTCCTGAAATACTTATTCTACTCATCAAATAGAAAGGAGAATTTGAAGTTCAGAATATATATATTTTTAGGAAGTGATTGTCCTAGAAAACAAGATGATGGACTTAGGCTACCTAGAGATGAAAGGAAGTCAGAAAAAAAAGTCCGATCTTAGCTGTTTGACACAAGAAAAAGTGAGTCTACCAGTGACCTCCATCCTATTTCCACTGCTCTGACAGAGTAAAAGGAAGGAAAAATTTGCCTTACAGGGTAGTAGCCTCTGACTTAGGGAGACTCTAGCTGACAGAAATCTCTCATAGTCCACAGAATACCACATGTATTTTTTTCCCCTGACAGCACTGAGGGTGGGCTAAAGCGGGTGTGCTTATAGCTGATGGTCTTTTCAGCTGGTGTAATTTCTATAAATATATATTCAATAAATCTCTGAATAAAGTCCAGCAGCTGGTTAGAAATCTCCTACTGGGCATTAGTCCAGACTTAAATAGTATTTGCTGAACTAGAAAAATGCACTTGGGAACTATTATATGTAAATCTGGGGCACCTTAGGAACCATATCCCTAGATAACTCCAAATCTTGACGCAACATCTATTAAAAAAACAGGATATTGAAGACCTCTAGTGATAGATATGTCATCAAGTACCATTCTGTTCAGTTTCTCTTAGCTGCCTTTATTCCTGGAAGCCCTGATAAACCTTTAAACACTAAGGGTTTTCCTTTCTTGGCTGCAATTTAATAAAATAGGTTAGCTTGGAACTGGGTTGAGAAAATTAGTTGACTACATCAGGACCAGGATAGGTCCTGATTCTGGGTGAGATCTGGAAGTGGTCCAGTAGATTTGAGCAGAAACATTAGCCTCTCTGATTGGAAACCTGTGAGCAATGAACTTAAAGATTTTTTTTTTTTTTGACCTTTGAAGCAGCAAGACTTTGTATTAACAAGTTAGCTGAAGACAGCTGTCCATGTCCAAAAAGTCAAATCAGATCCCTGCTGGGGCTTCAGTTGCTGCTGACAACTAGCAGGGTGGGTAGCTTGATGGGTAGGACAGACTGCTGTTTTTCTATTAAGTTTTAATAAATGTTGGTATTTTTGATTACTTTTACTATGTATTTTTGAAATTCTACTGCTCTAATTGGAATGGAAACATTTTCTGTACTTTCAAAGTCCGTTGCCAGCTCTGAATACAGTAGCCTAAGAATTCTGTTAGAGAACATGACCTTTTTGCTAAAACTTTACAGAAACAGACTGTGAAATAGGAATGAAATAAAGTATGTACTTGAAAAGTTTGGGTTATTTTAATGCTGTTAAACTGCAAGTCCTTGGTTCCAAAGCATGCTTTACGTACAGCTCCACAACAGCATGTTGCCCATGTGGGAAAGTGCAGATCCAAAAGTGATACTATGATGTAGCTCTCTGAAGAGAGTCATGTGAGCTTTAATAGTATGTATGAATTAAAGAGTCTCTGGGAGGAGCATAAGTAAAAGTGGGCTGTACAGAACTCTAAAAATACATTGTTGTGGGTGACCATTGCCATAGAACTGTCATGAACAACCTGGAAGAGTTTTTCCATTTCTGAACTGTTATCTCTGTGTGATGACTGTACATTATGCTCACCGTCTGTGCAGGGTGAACTCCTACACTGCATCTTAATCCTGTCAGCTGGGTATGCAGAAGTTCCTAATTGTGGTAAGGATCTTGGCTACTGAAAGAATTACTTGAGTGAAAAATTTTACTCTCTCTCGAAGAACATTCTTCAGCTAAATCTGTATACCAGCTTTTTACTGAAACATGTTTCTCAAAATGGAGCTGTCTTTACATGGTTTTTTCTTTATTCAAAGATAACTCTTATATTGAGAACTAGGCACACATGCCCAGAACATCTAGCAGCTTTGTGGCATGAAATCCTGTCTTAAGGTACAAGAGATTCTGGTTAAAGTTCTTACTTGGCACCAGACAAGGCAATAGCTTGAATCTCGTTACTTTACACAAAGTGTAAGTAGTGCCATCAATTGAAGTAAGTTTATTCCCTGAGACTGGAAATTCAGTGTTTGTGAATTTTGTATTTGTAAAAGGTATGGGTACAATTCAAGCAGGAAATTTTTCAGGTTTCTGTATCTCTTCTGGACAGCTTTTTCTTTACATGGTAAAGTCTATCTACAGGATATCAACGCTGTTCACCTTTATTTTACTGAGGCCAAAAATGTGAATTGGTTCTTTCAAGTGCACTGCATCTGTCTTGTTTTTTCTTCTCATGGCACACAAACAGTCTGAAAGGAGCAGTACCCTCCACAGGCTTGGGCTGAGGAATCCCCTGGCATGGAAAATTTCTGGCATCCACTAGGTTGAACATAGCATACTGTTACTGCTTTTATTCTCCTGATTCCTGGGACAGAAATGCAGGGTCCCTGCCTACACAGTTTTGCACCCTGGCTGTATCTGGGTGATGCTTCCTTTCAGGCTGCTGTGTAATGCAGCCATATAGCCCGAACTGTATTGCGTGGTGCAGAGTGTCGAAAATGCACGAGACTTCTCTTCCAGTCTTAAATCTGTACCTCCTTGGAGGTATGTCCATGAGACAAACTTAACTGTTCCAGTGTAATCTGATTCAGAAGGCAGAAGGAAACACCATGTGTTCAGTCTGCTCTCTTATAGAGCACAGTTCCCAAGACTTCCTCA